GAGTAGTGAGAGAAGATCTTCACCCTGAAACCCACAGCGTCCCTTTTCAGCAGGAAGTAGCTAAGAGAATACGCCGTCCCCTTTTCCTTATGACTCAGGGTGAAGTCTCTCTCAGGGAGGAGTGATAGGGAATGGCAAAGGATACACTGACAAAGATTAATCAGAACTGGCTTTGACAAGCACTGTGGCATTTGGACAAGAACAAACTGGGAGGAGGGTAGAGAGAATAGTGCAACAATGAATGAGTGGAAGCCCAAAATCTCTGTAAATGTTTATGAAAATTAATAAAATATAATTATAGAAAAAAAAAAGAGCTAAAGAATCGCTAACATATGGGGACCCTTGGCTTCATCCTTGTCCTGATTCAATAGGACCCTCAACCTCAAACATTAAAAACTTTGTCTTGAATGAACATGCTGAGATGTTTGAATGGCTCAGTGTCCTGGGATATTTAAAGCAATTTTTCTTATGATCCACTGTGAGAAGTCATGGTATCTGGTGAGCAAAGGGATCTATCCAGTCAGTTGTCAGTTGCAAGTTTATGCAAGCCCCAGTGGGGATCTGTATGGAGGAGAGGAAGCAGATACTGCATGGGCTGCAGCAATACTATGTAAAGCTGAGTAACAGGCATGGTGTATAACCTATCAGATTGCTACTCAAGTGAGCCTGAACCCCCCAGCTGTTTTTCCAGGTGGGAAAAAATCACGCTATTTCCTCCCATAAAGATTTACAGCCTCAGAGACCAAGTGGCAAGTTCCTATAAGTTGGTCTCTACTGGATGGTGGTGGTTTTCCTTTGGCTTCTGGTAAAAAGGAAATGTTTATGCTTATGGAAAGACTTTACAAAAGACCATGGAAAGAGAACCTAGACTAAAAAAACCCCTTTAACTCCAACTCTTTGTACATTTTGTTAAAATACTTTGTCTTCTTGAGCTGTCCTTTGAAATACTCTGTTCACCTTTTATTTTGGTATTTCTTTCCTTTGTTTCAGCTTAACAGTCTAGTGTGATTGTCTCTTTTGACATCTATTTTGGTATCTTCTTTCTCCCTAGTCTTTGTAATGCCTTTTATTGTGGTTTGTTTTTTTTTCATAGATACCCTTGGTATTATCAGGCCTTTGATCATAGTCTTCAATGTATCAAACCTATTCTTGAGATGGTTTTTAAATTCAGTTGAGAGTTGGGACAGCCTCAGGATTGTTATCTTGGTTTTAATGTTATTGTTTTCATTTTCTTCACGGACATGCGTGAAAAGGTGAAAGGTCAGAGAAACATCCCAACATAGTCTGATATATTGACTGTTAACAGTGACTATAACAAACTTTATCAGAGATGGTGAGAATAGTGTAAAATAGGCCAAGGTTCCGATCTGTTGTTAATAGGGTCATGATGACTGGTGATCAGCTTGATGACACACAACAGCATCGTCTTTTCAGAATAGGAAAGAACCATGAATGATGGATGCAGACATACATTAACAGGTATTTGAGGGGTTTGTTTTTTCCCTGTGCAATGTAATTGCTTAACAGAAGAAAAGTTGGAGAGGGTGAAGATTTCATGAAATTGGATTGTCAAGAATGAACAGCAAACTTACTAGTGTCAATAAGCTGACACCATGACGTCTAGGTAGGATCCAATCTGTGCCATCCTGGGTTTTCTGAAGCAGTGTGTAGTTGCTCGGAGACTGAGATAAGGCAAATATAGTTGAACTTCTCCATTTCTGGTTTAGCTAAGGTTCTAAAATAGCAGACCAAGTAGAGTTTAGGACAGTAGTGTAAGATACAGCACAAGTATTGTGTTATGTGAACAACAAAAAATCTGATAGAACTCCTGACGAGAAGATGGTTATACCTGACTTTTTCAAGCTCTCCTGGCACATAGTTACTTTCATTGAACACTCAGGATACAACTATAAAAAAATAAAAGTCCCTACATCAAGAAGATAAGGATTCTCACCACTGGGCCAATTAGCAGCAACCATGAGTGATGAAGAGATTGAGGTTAAGTTACAGCTTGCTCAGCTCCACAATCAACATTCTTGGTACCAGCAGTCAGAAAATCAAGACGATTGCACTTGGTAAATCTGTCAGAGGCCTCTCCAGAATACTGAGAAGCAACAATTACCAATCTAGAGACAAGGTATGCCCAATCCATGCTATGGTCTTTGCAATTACTTGCTGTTTCAGAGCGCTGGACAATGAGTAAGGGTGACAGAAGAATTGGTACCTTTTGAGTTGTGGTGCTGGAGAAGAGTCTTGAACATACCATGGACTGCCAGGAATACAAATAGGTATGTTTTAGAGAGGGTGAAACCAAGCTTCTCCCTGGAGGCTAGCTTTTTACAGCTCTGTGTCACTTACTTTGAGCACATGGCCAAAAGGGACTGATCCTTGGAGAAGGACATCATGCTGAGAAAGGTGGAGAGACAGTGCAGGAGAGGAAGACCCTGGAAGAGATGAATTGATAACAGTAACTAGGGCACTGGGGGTTGGTGTGTTTGGAGCCAGTGAGATTAGCTCAGGACAGGGCAAATTTCAGAGCTGTTGTACATAGGGTGACTCAATAGCAGGCCTATTATGAACATTTGGAAGAACAGCATTATGCCCAGTAAGAATACTGAGTAGGATAAATCAGTACCATTAGCAAGATCAAAGCACAAGTTACTAAAGATATGAGAAAAGTGTTTTCCCAGCACATAGTTTTTGTCAAGGATGATTACATTTACAAAGTAGATGGGGATCTTGAATAATAGACAAGTCACAGTCACAGGCAAAGTCAGATGAAGAGACCATTCTGGACAGACACTTATATAAGGCCGCAATGTTCTAAGTAATTGAGATTTCTTTCTAGGCAGTAACTGTTAAACTCAGTAAATATGATCAAACGATCTAGAAGACTGGCAATCTAGAACCAAATCTCTAATTTAAGGGCTAGCCAACAGTTCTCCATTGAGACTACGAGAATCAGCCGCAGTGCTCTGAAAAGGGAATGTTAAGTCCACATGCCAGAGATTCTGGGCCAATGGGTTTGGATGAAGGCTAAGAAAAATGCCAAATTTAAAAAATACCCAATAATTTTAATATGCCACAAGGATTGACACAGAGAACTCTGTTGGCTTAGTGGATATAAAGTTACACTGCTGACCCAAAAGACTGGCAGTTTGAATCCACCAGCTGGATAAAGATGTAGGATAAAGATGGCAATATCCTCCTGTGCAATATAAGCCTCTGAAAACTGAAGGTCAGGTATGAGTTGATGTGGGCTCAAAAGCAAGCACTGAGTGAGTGGCCAGGTGTAGCAATAGCCTAAAAGTTGGCTTTTTTTAGCCGCTAGACTCCTCTGGTCTCCAACTACCTTAACTACAGACGTATGGTCTTGCAAATCATCAACAGCTATGGGACTAGGATAAGTGTGCTTCCCACACTAAGGCAGCAAGACTTGAGGGAGATTGGAGCAAGACCTTACTGAGAGCGAGATGATGGTGTTAAGATCTTGGTGATGGAAGAGAAACTGCCACAGGTGGGACCTGAGGTTTCTTGTGTTTGTGCTGGCCATAGTTAAAGGTTTTGTAGTTCTTGCCAGATGCCTGAAGGAGAAGCCTGTAACTTCCCTGAGGCAAACCTTGCTGGATGATTTGGATTTGACTGAACCGAAACTGGAGTCTGGACTAATTAAGGAATGGTGTCTTGTTGACTATTGAGCTAAAACTTGGGTTTGCACTGGGTGGTATTTTTGGCCCCAACTTCCTTCCCTAATAAACCCCATTGTTGGTACAATAACTGAGTCTGTGAGTCAGCAACAAACAAACCTCTTGTTGCTTTTGTGGCTCTAGAGGCACCATGGGGCTCTATCTGCTTTCTAGCCTGGGGGCAGTGAGGAGCTGTGCTTTTCTTATTTGCTCTGGCCCTTTCAGAGAAGCATTCACAGCCCTGTGCCTCCATGTTGTTTTCCCCCTTCAGACACCAGGATTGACAGTTTCTGCATTTTATATTAATTTAGCAAGGCTCAAAACAGACAATAGAAAAGGACAAATACACGTCAATTAAAATACTGAAACAGCAATCTTCTAACCAAGCTAAGCTAAAGCAGTAAACCAAAGTAAAAGCATTTTCATATCCCATTTAATCACAAAATAAAAGATATTGAATATATACAATTTATTTAATAAATTAATGTCATTCAAAATACAGTGCCAGAACATTATGCAGTTTAACATGCTAGTAATGTTTGTCCATGAAGCACCTGTGCTCATGTTAGATTGGCGGCGCCCCGCTACTGCTAGTGGTTCCTGGGATTAATGCCAGAGCAGCACTAGTTACCTGCTCTTCCGCACAGTTAGTGCAGAGAATTCCTGAACAGTTCACCTTCCTAATCCTAATCCCCCCAACACACACACAACAGGTTAAAAAACAAAACAAAAACACACCCAGACAACTAACGGATATCTACACACAATCACTCTACAGTAATGCTTTATTAAATTAACAAAGATTTAATGACCTGGTTAACCCACTCTAGTCTTTAAGATGGAGAAATACATCAGCAGCAGGTAGTTATATGCATGAGCCAATGTTACTGTAATACAGAAAGTGGAGGCATTTATTAATTAAAGCTCCACCCAGACCCGCACAATGAAGGACTAGCAATACTTTTTGCAAGCCCAGCAACTTAGTCCACACCTGGTAAATGACCAGCTGATTGGAAGACCTGTACTCTAGATAGACAAGTATAAGTTAGTGAAAAGAGAATTCATGCACCTAATAGTATAGTTAGACTGATCCTGCAGTCATAGCTTTCCCTGTGTAATACCATAAAATGGAAGAACATCCTCAAATATAGTACAGGACTCAGATAGCATTTCTATACCAACATGGACGTTAGTGTTATGTGCAGATGAATTACACTGGGGAAGGAAAAAAAGCAACAAAACCAAACCAAAAACTGTATCCCAGGACTTCAGAAGTACAGGAATGAAAAACATACACTGAAATAAACTCAGCATAGTGTCATATACCACACTAGGAACAAGAAACTATAAGTGAACTTTTTGAGCTGTACATATATAGAGCTAATAATCTGTTAGATAATCGAGATTCTTACGCTCTCATGATACACATAAAAATTTCTCAATTATTGGATAATCTATTTCATATTATGGAAGCTTATCTTTCTGTATGACTCATTGAGATATATATATATATTATACTGATGCAAATATTAAGGGCATAAAAATAAAATTTATCAAAGATAGACTTTTCTGTACTTTCATTTAGTCCTTTCAGAGCCACTCTTGCTAAGCAAAGAAAATAAAATACATTATCAGGTGTGCACTCTTTAAACTCCCAACTATACAGGTGGCAGTGCGACCATTTCCCCATCCAGTTCAAATTCATCTGTCCCATCTGGTGAAAACAGGTAAGTTGGTGGTTTCCATGGAGATTCTTCAAGGCAAGATGGATAAAGTTTCCCCACAGTGCATCGGAAATCTCTTCCCAAGTCCCACAGTACACGTTCAGATATATGCTGCCGCAGAGACCACCGGTCAAGTTCCAGATCATATTGGTAGGTAACGTATTTAGCTCTCTCATTTAAGTGGGTTTCTCGCATAAACACGCAGAGAGAATTTGAGATTACAACAGCTCTTACACAAGGGTCAGAGTATCTCTTAGCAGGGATGTTGGCTGCCATTTTCCACTCATTTTTATTCACATCATAAACTTCCACAGTTATTGAAGATCCATCTACAGTGCCAGAGGGGAGTCTTATGCCAGAATTTGTAGCAATATGCAACCCCCCAATATAGAAAATTTTATCACCAAAAGCTGCTACTGAAGCAAAGGACCTGCTTGTCTGTCTCATGGCCATTTCAACCCATGAGTCAGACCTTGGGAAGTAACAGTACATGAGGTTCAGCGTCATGACGTAAATGCAGTCATGAACCACAACTGCTGCACTCCACTGCCAAGCACAAGGCAAAGGGCTTACCATCGTCCACTCATCCTTTTCAGTGTCATATCGTTCTACAGTCCTCCTATTAAGTTCTCCACCTACACTATCTCCTCCAATTGCATAGATAAAGCCCTCACAGCACACCAAAGATGGTTTTACACGGACAAAAAGCATTGGGGTCTTTGGGAACCAGGTATTTTGCTGTGCATCAAACCAGTAAAAGCAATTCACAGTTCTGAAGGCAGTCTGAAGTTTGCTTGTTTTACTGTGATTTGTTTTTGTGTTTTTCAGGGGAATTTGACCCCCTGCTATATAGATGTCATTATCAGGAGTTACAACGGTTCCAACCTTATGCAAATCAGCTGGTGGGCTGCAGAGCTTGTAAACTTTTTCTGCTTGGGGACTGTAACAGACTGAAGAGTAAAGACTACAAGGATTTTCTGAAGATGCTTCAATAAAAATCATCATTTCCTCTTTAGTCATCCCAAGTCTTGGTTTGAAAAATTTAGGCATGGATTTATACAAACCTTGAACCACCACAGACTTATCATTGGGTGGCAGACCTTGAAACCAAGCTCTCTGTGTTACTTCTGAAAGTGCATCAATTCTAATTTGGCTAAGAACTGAAGACAAATACTGTGATCTTGATTCTGTGTTGTACTCGAGCCAAAGCATAGCAGCTTCACGAACTGTCTCCTCCTTTTCTACATTTAAATTGTCACTACTGAGAATGTCTATCAGTAGGTCATGTGACAACTGCATGAAAGCCTCCTGGTGATACACAGAAGTGAACTTGTGCTCCACCATTCTTTTAGCACTTTGTTTTAATTCTTCGCAACTGAAGAGATCAGCAAAACTCAGTAAGCGCACACAATTCTCTGCATTTATTTTTTTAATTAAATATTCTCGGCAACGTTGTAACACATCTTCTACCTAAAATGAAAAAGAAAGGCTGGTGAGGACAAGATAAATCAGAAACCAAAACAGTTGCTGTAAGTTCAGACTTGTGGCACCACGTATGCAGACTACGCAGAGTTTTCAATATCCTTTTGAAGATCACTGTTAAGCCTTTCTTCCAGTATGCCTCTAATAGTAGTGGAGTATTAACTATATGCACTACCCAGGACACATTTTATTTCTATAAAAGGCATTAAAACATTAAACAGCCCACTTGTTATACATGTTTTCAGAACTCTAGGGCTAAGCTAAAAGGAATTTCTTCCAGTAATAGTAAAATTATGAACCTGTGGGTTGTTTGGCTGTTCTTTTCCCTTCCTAATGGCCTCCTTCACTGTCCTGTTTCAGAGCAGATCAGCATCAAAGAGGTTCCTGGGGTGGGATGAGGTCGGAGTTGGGGGAACAAAATAAAAACCAAACTGCTTCAAGGAGAAAGAAATTTGTTTTAAAGGTTTTAAAAATTTTCCAGACAAACCAAATAATAATATAAAGAAGTCACAAAATTTTTTTTTTAAAAAAAGAATTATTACCAAGGAGCTAAACTAGAGTTTTGTCTATTAGGCTAGACCAGAAAATCATGCACAATGCCTATGAGTAGTATTATTATTATTTTGCCTTTCTTAGCTACAGAGGTAATATAACCAACAATGAATACAATTATTGGCAGCTATCAACTACCTAAACTTAAATGACCCAAGTTATCCACTCCCAAGATTCTTGATTTGCTTTTCTTATAAAGAAAACAGAATTCAGTGGAATCAGAAGTACTACCTACAATGTGGTCATGAGTACCTATTCTACCCAGTTTACAGTGAGGAGTCAGGCTGCTTGGATTAAAAACTTGGACTGTTCAGCCAGGACTTATTGGCAGTGTGCCAGGCAAGTATAGTAAAAAATGGGGATATTATTTGCCAACCTCAAAAAATCACGGCGTTTAGATGGGAATCTATGTAAAGAATCAATGTAGCATCTGGCACATAAAAATATTACCAATTCATAGCATTATCAGTGAAAGTAATGGTGACAGTCGTAAAACGTGCTACCTCAGGCTTGCTAGGGTCACTCAGTCCAAAGGCACAGTCTTTTTTTGCATCTGAACAAATTTATGTGCATGCGGACACACAATTCATTAACATGGGAAGAAAAAGTTAACTGATTTATAATCAGCAAAAAAAATATTACGGAATTTAACTTGTTACTAATTTTGAAAATTATGTTTTTAACTTAGCTTTGAAAAAAGCTAGCAAGTTTTAGAAAGGTAATGCTTTATAGTAAGTACATTTTCCTTTGCAAGCTTAGATCCATGTTGTGAATCTTTCTGATTGTAAAGGATGCCATACAACTTTAAAAAGGGGACAGCTGAGTTGTTTTCCTGAACTACTACTTCTATATATTTACATACAGGCATCTAACCAGTATTAGTCACTCATTCAGTATAGAATTATCAAGTCCCTACTATCTATTATGATCTATGCTACCAAAATATACCCTTTCATCTTCCCCTGCCCCAATGTTTACATCTAAGTTATATTCTAAGGGCATTATAGTTTTGTGGTATGGGGTGGGTTTTTTTAAAAAATAATTTTAATGAAAGTTTACAGAGACTTAGGGTTTCTGGTCATTCATTGTTGCACTTTTCTCCCAGCCCACCACACCCCTCAATTCACTCTTCTCACTGAAAAGAAAAACTTTCATTGTTCTGCAATCCCTTCCCACCAAGTCCACTCCACTATACAGCCTTCACTCTGGACTTCTGTAATGACAATACCCATTCATATATCCCTTTTAAACAGCTCTCTCCCTCATCTGTTTCAATGCAATAAACATCATTCCTTCCCTCCTTTTCTGTCTTCCCGCAACCGTGATGTCAAGTGTTGTTATACAACAGTAGCCCTGTGCAATATTTGTCCTTTTGTGACTGAGATACTTCACTCAGCATAATGTCCTCCAGGGTCACCCATTTTGTGAAATATTTCATGAGTTCCTTGTTTTTCAATGCTGCATAGTATTCCATTGTGTGAATATACCAGAGCTTCTCTATCCATTAATTTGTTGATGGGCACTTACATTGTTTCCAGCTCTTTGCTATTGTGAACAAAGCTGCAATAAACATGGGTGTGCATATATCTGCTTGGGTGGCAGTTATGGTTCCCAGTAGTAGAACTGCTGGTATTTCTATTTGCAACTTTTTGAGAAAGCACCATACATACTTCCATAGTGGTTGCACCATTTTACACTCCCACCAACAGTGAAAAAGGAGGGTTCCAGTCTCTCCACAACCTCACCAGCATTTAATGTTTGCTGTTCTGTTATATTTTGCTATTCTTATTGGGGTGAGATGGTATCTCATAGTTGTTTTGATTTGCATCTCTCTTAGAGCTTAAGGTTTTTGAACATTTCATCATGTGTTTGCCATCTGAATGTCTTCTTTGGTGAAGTGTCTGTTCATATCCTGTGCCCATTTTTCAACTGGGTTATTTACTTTTATCTTCTTGTGGTGCTCGAGTGTTTTATAAATCCTAGGTATAAGTCCCTTGTCAGACGTGTCATTATCAAAAAATATTTTTTCCCAATCTGTGGCTGCCCTCTTTACCCTGTTGGAGAAGTTTTTCGATGTGCATAGGGATTTAAATTTTTAGAAGGTCCCATTCATCTATTGTATCCTCTCCTGGATACACATTTTCCAGGATGCTTGGAAGACCGCTTATGTTGTGGATTAGGACTTCTAGAGTTCTTCCAAGCTTTTCTTTAATGGAGTTTATTTTTAGTCCTTGGTTTAGTCCTAGGTTCATAATCCACTTTGAATTGGTTTTTGTGTTTGGAGTGAGGTGTGGATCTTGCTTGAGTGTTCTGCAGAGTTTGCAACTTTTGGTCTTCTTGAGGAAACTTTCTGTTACTGAATATAAAATGATATTCTAAAATAAGAAAATACATAAGGAAAATATGTTTATAATCCTCTTAAAGTTTAAAGAGAATTAAAAGGAAAACAGCTTATCATAGGCAATTAAGACAACAATAAACTTTTAGTTTTTGTTTAAAACTTCCTCTTTAGGCTACAACCAGACAACACCCAACATCCTGGCCCATAGTATGAGAAAGCGGAGTCCCCTTCAGGCTTAGTGGCAAAATTAATGTCTTTGGGCATTTGTCAGGCTAGATTCACTGACCCAGTTAGAGCTGGACTACTGGCGGACTGAGTTGCTTCAAAGAGTGGAGCTCAAAAAACTTTTACCACTTGCCCAAGCACTGTAGAGGCTCAATCTTTGAAGTTAAAGATCCAAGAATGTCCTTCCCTTGCTTCAGCATGGCTGAAGAGAGAAGTTGTGTTTATTGAGGAGCTATCAGATTGTTTCTGATCCTGAATTGGAATCTATTACATCCCTAATAAACTCCGTAACTGTAAAACAAAAAAACCAAACAAAACAAAAAAACAACCTTCCTCTTTCAATATGGTCCTTTGACCATAAGTGATACTGAAGCTCTTAAATTCCATAAAAACATTAAAATTTTCAATGAAAAACAGTGTCATCAAATTAACACAAAAAATTAAAGCTTCAAGTTCAATGTTCAAAATAATTACTTGAAATCTAAAAACTTAAGAATAAAACTAGTATGCAACTTTCTGTTGTTGTTGTGTACCGTCGAACTGGATCCAAATGGCACAGGAGGAGATTGCCCCTCCTTCTCCAGTACAGCATCTGGTTGATTCAAACTACGTGCCTTTAGTATTGCAGTGCAGCTTCCTGCCACCAGAGCTCCCTCTTCCTATATCTTTTTAATGAATTAAGTCCACTTTAAAAAAAAAATTATCTAGTTGATGAACTGATCAAATCCTATTTTGTTTTCTCATCCTTCTTAAAGAGAGAAATTTGACATCATACAACTGCAATAAGACACCAATGTTCTTTGGAAAAACATGTAGCATATCATATATATCTTTGCTCTTCAGTAATTTGGAGGGGTCTCTGACAGCAGTCTTTGTCAATGCAATTCGTCCTTTAATTTCTTGGCTGCTAGTATCCAGAGTGTTAATTGTGGAGCCAAGCAAACTAAAACTGTTAACAATCTTGATCTCTTCAACAATGTCAGTCTGGAGTCTAAAGTGTGCCTGATCCAGGCTATGATCTTTGTAATTACTTGCTATGCATCAGAAAGTTGTACAATGACTAGCATGACAGAAGGAGAATTGATGCCTTTGAGCTGTGGTGCCTGAGAAGAGTACTAAATTTACCAAGGACTGCTAGGAGAATAAACACGTTCATCATAGAGAGGGTGAGATCAGGCAGCTCCCTGGAGGTAAGGATTCTGAAGCTTCATCTGACATGGAGGTAAGGATTCTGAAGTTTCATCTGACATACTTTGGACATGTTGCAAAGAGTCCTTGGAGAGTGACATCATGCTTCAGAGGGTAGAGAAGCAGGCAAGAGAGGAAGACCCTCGATGAGATGGACTCATTCAGTGACTGGGGTAATGGGGGTAGGTGTGCCGGAGACAGTAAGATTGTCATAGGATAGAGTAGGTTTTAGGGCCATTGTACATAGGGTTGTTTTGAGTTGCAGGCAACTTGATGGCACATAACAACAACAATGTATGTATGTATGTATAGCATACATATGTATATATGAAACAAACTTAAAGAGAAAAATTGCTTACCTGCAAAAAGCAAGCAGTTTCATAAAGCTGTTCAACAGTGCTATCACTTATTGCCAAGTTACCCGTGTATGCGTAAGTTATTATTATTTGTAAGGTGGCTGCATCCACGTTCCTCAGATGTACATGTGTCTGTTTGCTTTCACTTAGTCCACTCATGAACATGGCCCTACAGAACAGAAAATGAAAACCTGTTAAAAGCTAGAGTAAAACAAATAAAGAGTTAAAAAGAAACACTAGGTAACACAAGACACTTACTTAAGGCTTTTGTTAACATACAAGATTTTTGAGGATGATAAAGTATAATCCAACGTCAAATAATCAATGAAACCACCAAAGTTTATGTATTCTGTAGCCATACAGTTCAGCAACAACAAAGAACTCAGTATTTAGACATATAAAACAGATCAACCTGCCTTACACAGATGACACAACCTTGCTTGTTTAAAGTGAAGATGACTTGAAACTGCTTAAGATCAAAACCTTCCAAAACAACTATGAGATATCATCTCATCCCAGTCAGAATAGCAAAATTTAACGGAACAGCAAGCAACAAATGCTGGCGAGGTTGTGGAGAAACGGGAACCCTTATTCACTACTGGTGGGAGTATAAAATGGTGCAACCACTGTGGAAGGCGATAAGGCACTTTCTCAAAAAGTTGCAAATAGAGATACCATTTGACCCAGCAATTCCACTACTGTAAATATATCCCAAAGAGACCATAACTGACATCCAAGCAGATATATGTGCACCCATGTTTATCGCGTTCTGTTCACAATAGCAAGGAGTTGGAAACAACCCAGGTGCCCATCAACAAACAAATGGATAGAGAA